GCGGACTTGCCTACTTGGCCAGTCTCCAAGCCAGGCCCCCAAGCCCGTACCTTCTGCACTCCTGCCTCTGGGCTCACCTGCACCTCAAAGGGGCTGGGGCAAAGGGGGAGCTGGTGTCAGTGCCTGAGTGGCCCTGTCTGGGACACCCCTCCTCTCTGTCCTTGGGTTCCCAGGCAGCCTATCTCCCTCTCTCCCTCTCACCCCAAGCTGGCCTGGGGAGGAAGGCAGGCCTGCACCAGGCTTACCTGCGGGGGATGGCGTAGCCGCCCCAGGTGATGGTCACCACATACTTCCCAGGCACCACAGGGTAGTACTCACACTCGAACACACCGTCCCCAGCCTCTCGCACCTTCACCGGCTCCTCTGTGCCCTCTGAGGAAAAATGGGTGGGGCAATAGTGGTGTGTGAGTCCCCAACCCTGAATTCCTGTACCTAGGCCCCAAAGGGCAGAGCCGAAACCCAGAGCAGGGCCCACACAGTCCCCTTGTGCACAAGGGACCGAGAGTCATTCCCAGCCTGTAGATGGGAACAGAGAGGAGATGATGGGCCCGAGATCCTTGTGGTTCTGCTCACTGGGTCTCCCCTTGGGACAGAGAGCTGGGGGTCATTGCCCTCAGGGAGCCAAAACCACTGCCCTATGTCCTCCCTACCCACCCTCCCCTGGTTTTGGGTCCCAGCACTTACTTGGCCCCTTGACTGTGACCTTGAGCTCCCCGCTGCCAGCGCCCTTGGTGAACACCTTGAAGTCAGCCACTTCTTTCACACGCACACCCTTGGGCTGTAGGCCCCGCCCAGAGGCTCTGCAGGCATTGGGGTTGCAGGCTGCAGGGAGGAGGCAGAGGTGGGTTGGGGGTGCTGGAGGGCTGTGGACAGAACCTCAGCCCCTCACCCCTCATCCCTTCTCACTGAGCAGTCATTTGACCCCTCCCAGGCACAGGCCATGACCTCATATACCCCTTCCCTGCACGCCTCGTGTCCTTGCACAACTGGGGCTGTTAGGAGCCATGGTGGGCAGGGAGCTGGCTACAGGATCCGGATCAAGCAGGTCATAGGAAACCATCCAGCTGGGGTTCTGATCACTGTCACTTAGGACAAAGGTATGGCAGAAGCTAGACAGAGAGCTGGGCTAAAGTACACAGGAAAGGGCCATCCATCTAGAGCCCCAAAGCACCTCAGGAACTAAGTCATGCTACAAACACTCAGCAATGCCATGGAACAAGAGGTATCTCATACGACAGGAAGCCTGGCCCAGAACCAGTACCATGTGGACATTAGCCTGCTACAGAGCACTGCAGTGGTAAGAGCCCAGACCCTGCCGCGGCACACGGACAACAGAATGATAATCTCAGCCTGCCACGGACACAGAAAGGGGCATGGAACCCATGGGGGGCCCAAAACCCATACACGGGCTTGTAATCCCAGCCTGCTGGAGCGCACAGGCAGTGGTCCGGAATCTAGACTTTATTACAGAAACCATCAGGCAAGTGGCCAAGAAACTCGAGCTGCCACAGAACACAGCCAGTGGCATAGCACCTGGAGCCTGTGGCAGAATGCCATGGAATGGGGTGATTCCACACAACCTGGGCCATACCACCCAGCACAGGTGGGCCAGTCAGCTATGGCCATGTCTGGCCCAGCCTCCGTTGGACAATACTAACATGGCACCACTCTCTTGGCCTGGTGGACGATGGGCTTGGAGGGGGCTAGTATCAGCAGGGGCACTGAGGGCCAGGGAGAGAAGCACAGCCTACAGGTGTGTACAGGTGCTCCCCACATATGCCCTATCCAAGTGGCCCTGTCACTTCCTCTTTGATCCTTCCAAGGTGGCAACTGTTTTGGGTGTTCTTCCTTGTAGCCTCCTCAGGGGTCAGGGGGCAAAGAGATGATGGGTTAAGGGTCTCTCCAGACTCTACCCATTAGCTGCTCCTTCTGCCCATCTTATGCCTTCAGGTAGCCCCCCACTCACCCTATGGACTTAGAGCCTCAATTCCCAAATCCTAGGACCCAGAAAAAGGGGAGATGGATTGACACAGTGGCTACAATGACGGGGTCAGGTATAGCAAGGACTGTGAGGCTGGTGCAGGACCGGGCAGTGTTGCGTTCTGTTATCCACAGGGTCACTGTGAGTCAGAGCCGACTAAATGGCCCCTAACAACAGGACCCGGAATCTGGTGGCAGCTTGCTGGTCCCAGTGAGGGTGATGGTGGGGAAAATCTGAAGGGCCCTCACCTTCAGCCACGTGGACAGGGAATGGGCTGCGAGTGATGGGGGCACCAGCGAAGGCCACATGCACTGTGTGTGGCCCCTCCATCACAGGCCTGTATGTGCAGCGGAACGTGCTGTCCCCCTTGTCCTCCAGGGCCACCTCCACTGTGTCCCGCCGGCCCTGCGGGTCCACGATCACCACAGCAACGTCACCAGCGCCAGCCCCTGCCATGGACACAGGTTGTCAGTACCTGCTCGACACAGCTACCGGGGCGCCTGCGTCCTGGGACCGCTACCCCAGCCCCTAGCCACACCCTACACCTTCAGTCAGGGGCTACCCCCAGGCCCATCCTTACCCGCAGTGTAGATGTCAAAGTAGGTGGGCTTGTTGGCCACATTGCCCACAGGCTCCAGGCCTGGGCCACGGGCTGACACCTTGTTGGCATCCCCCAGGGCCATGCCCACGTTCACCTCAAAGGGGCTGCGTTCAATGTTCTGGCCAGCAAAGAGCACAGTCACCTAAAGACCAGGGATCAAAGGTTAGCTTCTAGGGGTCAAAGGTGGGAATGGAACAGGAGGGCAGGTGAGGGCCTATGAGGATACCTTGTGCAGCCCAGCGACCTTGGGCACATAGGAGACAGCGTAGGTTCGGTCCTTGTCATTGTTAGGGACCACCTTGGCCTGACAGGAAGAAGATCTTAAGTCACAATGGCTGTTGCCTTCCTTGATTTCACGGTCCCAAGTAGCCCTTATGGGGAGGCCTCCCCCAGGTTACATGGCAGTGGGTGGCTTTGGCCACCACCCCCAAGCCATCCTCTTGTTGGCTCCGTGGCCTCTGGCTCCAGCCCCACTCTACCTCCTCCTGCCCCAGTGGCCCCCGCACCTCTTCGGTGTGGCCCTCGGGATCCTCGATGTAGACCAGCACCTCACCCAGGCCAGCATCCACGGTCTGCACGGTGAAGTGGGCAGGTTGCAGCACAGTGTTACCTTGGGGCTCGATGCCTGGGAGGGCAGAGGCAGAGCCAGGTTCAGAGGGGGAGCTCACAGGTACACCACTGTCTGAGGACGGCTGCTGGGCTGAGCACCTACCGGGCCCATAGGCGATAGCCTTCTTGGGGTTCAGCTGCTTGGAGCGGACAGGGGCACCTGGCTTGAGTTTGGCCTTGGGGAACTGGGACAGGTAGGTCATGACAGAATGCTCATCCACATTGGGGTCCACGATCTCCTCGGGGGCGATCACCTGCCACAGGGAGGAACAAAGTTACACGTGTCCACTGCAACCAGCAGCCCCAGTCCTCACCTGCATCCTAGCCAGGTGTCCTTGTAGACCCAACCTCCACCCGTGGCCCTCTTGCCCGGGACCCCACCCCATCTGCGAATGTACCTGGGGCACACCAAGCCAGTCGTCCGCCTGCTGCATGGCCTCTCGGGCGTTCTCCACGGGCTGGTTGGGGTCCCAGGCCTCCCAGTCGGGGCAGAGGCCTGGAGGGATGGGGGAAGATGAGAAGGGGAAAATTGTCACCTAAAATGTACACATTTACTCACTCTAGCCCCTCCCAGGCTATGGGTGTGCACCTCTTCCCAGCCAGCCAGAGGCCCCTGAACCAGCCAGGGACCTGCTGATCCCCGAGGCAGTGGTCCATCAGCTGGGGTACCCATCTCTCCTCAGAGGCCCAGCAGCCCTCCCTAGCACCAACAATGAGGCCTTTCTGCCCTGGGTGACGCAGCCTGGCACCAGTCCTGCCAGCCAGCCTCCTGCCCGCTCAGGCCGCAGCATAGACCCTGAACACCAAGCTCCTGAGAGGGCTCCCCTCCCAGACCTCTCTCGCCTCACTGCAGCTACTGCAGGAGTGACAGAAGTCGCAGTCCCTGTCCCATATATGCCTCTGACCCCTCCCCTAGAAAGTCTCCTCACAGCTGTCCTGGATTCCTAAGCCATCTGCCTCAGGGCATAAGACTCCCTCTCGCTGCTAACTGCCCACTTGGGGAAACTGAGGCATCAAAGGATGAGTTCTCCTCCGTCCACCCAGAGCCCAGCCCTTCTAATAGGAGGTATGCTAAGGGAGCCCCAGATCACTCCTGTGAAAGGGTGTGGGACTGCTTGGTTCAGGCCGGGGCTGGTGGAGGGGGCGCTCACTGTGCGGGAGGGTGGGGGGCGGCTCAAAGGCTGGAATCCGTGACTGGCTGGAACAGCTGAGCTCACTGCTGGCAGCCACTCCAGCTGTGGGCAATGGCTCAGCAGCTGGGAATGCTTCCCAGACGGCCGTGCCCCTGCCTCCCACCCTCTGCTCCCCCGCTGACCCCAGGGCGGGGGAGGATTCTCCCAAGGGGCATGGCTCCCCAGGTTCAGGACTGACCAGCCCAGGGTAGAAGGAGCCCCATCTTCTCAGGATATGAGGGGTTAGGAAGGCGACGGTGCATGGGGAGGGGCTATAGCCTGTGGTGGCTCAGTTTCCTCATGGCACTGATCGGCCCCTACCTGGCCAGGCCAGGGCCTAGGTTGACGGGGCGGGGCTGGATCACCTGCCACTGGGCAGCCCACATTATCCTGGCCCTCAGCCCCTTCTCAAAGCCGCCCCAGGATCTCACAAAGGTGCACTCAGTGGAAATGGAGCCTGGGTGGCAAAGCAGAAAGTAGGGGGCAATGGCTTGAGGTTCAGTTCAGCCAAAGGAGTCAACAGACCTTGGACAAGTCACTGGCCCTCTTTGGCCCTCAGCATCCTTGTCTGTAAAGCAAGGAACTCAAAGCCCTTCCCGTCCCCATAGAATCTGTCACACCCATCAATGGGGGCCAACGCCAGCAAGAATCCCAGCTAGGGGAAGTGGAAGCCCTACAGGGGTGCATGCTGACAGCTGCAAGCCTCAGTACGTTCAGCTCGTCCCAGCCCTCCTTCTGGCTGGGCGCTCTGCACCGCTCCACTCACCAGGGGCACAGTTGTCCACCAGGGCGCCCAGGGCTTTGCCATCCTGCCAGTCTCGGTTGAAGTTGGTGATGGGCAGCTGGGGGACCTTGTTCTGGATCCAGCCAAGCAGGCGCTGCTTGGGTGTCTGCTTGCGGGCGTCCTCGTCGTCCTCATCCTCCCACATGGGCATGGAGATGGAGTAGTGCAGGATCAGCGTCCAGATCAGGCCCAAGATCAGCTTCAGGTTCCCATCCACGATGGCCTTGCTGTCTGCAGAGCAGAGGGGACCAGCGGGGCTCAGGAAGTCCACCCTCTAAGCCAGGGTGCCCTCCACACCCGCCTGCTACGGGGAGGGTGCCCCTGAGGCAGCTGCTAGGGCACTGGGCTCAGGCCTCCTATTTCTGGAATCGACCCCCTCAGCCTACCAGGGCTCTCCCTGCTGCAAGTGGAGAGGCCGAATCCGGCTGCTGCCCTGTGTGCCCCTGTACAGGTACTTTTACCTGTTATCGCATTCAATTCTGCCTCCTATTGGCTACAGCCATCCTTGCAATTATCTAGGGTCTGTTTGGTCCTATTGCATTGTAAGCCTTCTGGGAGCAGACACTGATTTTTTGGTTTGTTTAGCAGTTTTAATGAGGTGTAGTGACATACTGTAAAGTACAGGTGTAGAGTATAATTTGATAAGCTTTGACAGAAAGCCAGAAAGCCATCAAAATAACAAATATAGCCACACTTCCAAAAAAATGTGGGCCCCTCTGCTATCCCTTCTTCCTGTTCCTCCTTGTCCTTCTCTTCTCAGATAATCACTGATCTGTCACTACAGATTAGTTTGCAACTCCTAGAGTTTTATATAAACAAGTGATCCAAATGCTTAACATGCTTGCTGCAAACCAAGAGGTTGGTGGTTCAAGTCCACCTAACAGGCTCCTGGAAATAAAGGCCTGGAAAATTCTGAACCATTGAAAACCCCATGGAGCACAGTTCTACTCTGAAACACTTGGGGTTGGTCATGAGTTCAATCAGATGAATGGCAACTGGTCTGATTTTTTACATAAACAGGATGCACTGCTTCTTGTCTGTCTGCTTTCACTGTAGACACTGTTTTTTTCACACTCAGATCCTAGAACTTGGTAGGCTCTCAAGAAATGTTGGTGGAATGAATATTCCAAAACCTGAAGTTACAGAGGAGCAGGGCCAACCTGGTTTCCACCTGGGACGCCATAAAAGGCTTTTGGAACAACAGGATTCTGGGAGGAGAGAAGGTACCCAGTACATACTCAGTGAAGGCTTGGAAATCACGTTCACAAATGGCGGGGGGCAGTGGGATTTCACAAGAGCCAGGGGACATGTCACCCATGTAGACTGAAGTTTCAGAAGCTGAGACACACTCCACCCATTACGTCCTTTGAGGAATACGATGGACCAGAACTGATTACCGCGGAGTGTGCAGGCCTAGCTCCCCTTTAACAGCCCAAGGGAAGCACTGACAAGCTGGGGGCCTGGAGTATACACATCATTGGAATCCAGCTCATTTGTGAAGGACAACGCAGGCCTGAAAACCTGCAGCTCCAGGCTGAGCTGAGGGTCAGGGTAGGTGGAAGACTCAGCCTTGTTTACTGCTGTTGCTCCAGAGATGGGAGAGGGTGGGGCTGGAGGCACCCTTTTCTACATCTTTTCCTGCCCCCTCTTCCTAGAGCTGGGGGGGAGGGTGGAAGGAGACCCAGCCAGGGTCAGGGAACTGTGGCATCTCCCATCTGCCCCGGGAGGGAACCTCAGGCTCCAGGCTGCTCTGGAGGTGGGCTGGCCCCTTGGTTCCCCACCCTCTCACTGATTCATCCTTCCTTCCCCAGCAGCTCCCCGGGCCCGCCCCCTTTCCCCTGGCTCCCCTGTAACACAATGGTTTGGCAGCTTTCAGATTCCATGACACACTCACTCCCGGCCTCCCGCTCTGCCTCTGCCCTCTCGAGCACACAAATACACCCGGGCACTCAGCAGCGCGGGTCCGTTCACACAGTCTCGACACCCCAGTGCCCCCTCGGCCTCCTGCAGCCCTGACAACCTCCAAAGCCCATCCTCATGGCCCATCAGGGCTTCCTGTGAGCTGGGACAGACCCCCTGGAGGGAGGGAGACCTCAAGGCCACTGGGGCTGGGAAGGGGTGTGTGGGGTGGTCATTCATACTTGCTGGAGAGGGAGGTTTCTCCCCCGCAACTGGCCCAGGGCCAAACAGCAAGTGGTCCGAGGCTTGGGGCAAGGGAGGGACAGCAGCCGGGCTCCAGGAGCAATGACCTTCCTCTCGCCTCCTCCCCCTCGGAGGCCTGGGGAGGGGAGCTCAGCTCCAGCCAGGCTTCCACCCTCACACACCCCCAGCCTTCTTCTCGCCTGCCTGGGGATACCCCCAAAGGGGCGGGAGGAGCCAACCAGCCAGCCCCTGAGTCCCCGGGGCCTCTAGAGGAGGGGGAGAGGAGAGAGGGCCGGCCGAGGGAGGGGCTGGGACAGCTGCAGCCCCCTCCAGCCCCTCCCTCGGCTGTTGGCTGGAAGGGGAGGAACAGCAGCAACTGGGGAACAGCTGCGGGACAAAGCTGCCTCACAGGCCTCTTTGTTCGGAGGGGCTGAGGGGGCAGTGGGCGGCCTGGGTGCAGTGACGGGGCAAGAAGAGCCGCAGCCCTCCCAGCCCAGGCTGGGCACCCTGTCCCAGGTGGACCTCTCCACTCCCAGCTCCCCATCCCGGCACCAACCCCCCTACTAGAATAGGAAGTGAGGGTCTTTCTGGCCCCCCCACCAAGGTGCCTAGATGCTCAACTTCAGTCTTGAGACCTTGCCGGGGCAGAGGCCCCCTGGACAGTCCCTTCCCACCACTGTAGAAGAGGGGGGCCCAGGTTGTCCCTTCACACCTCAGCCTGGCCACCCTGTGGCCGGCAGCCCTCCCCGCCAGCCTCAGCCCCAGCAGCTGAAATCTATCAGCTCAGGCCCAAATGGGGACCGGCTCCCCTTCCTCTCAGCGGGATGGAGGAGCTTCCCACCCACCCCCAGACCAGCCTTTGCTTCTTCCCCCTCAGCTCGGAGCTGGCCCCTCCACAGTGGAGCCAAGGGGCCTGGGGCCAAGCACCACAGCAGAGGGAGAGGTGTGCTCCGGAAGGATGAGGCCTGGAGGCGGACTGGGGAGGGAGGGAGGCGGAGCGGCTTGCTAGCACGTCTCTCCTGGGAGACCCCACCTGGGACAGTCAGTCCTGCCTCTCAAAGCCCATCGCGCAGGGGTGACAGGGCTACCCGGGTTCTGACACTCCCTCCACGCTCACTCACATAGTCCCTTCGCCCCCCTCACACCCCCACCATACACCAGGGCCCCCTCCCCCACGCCTGCCCTCAGGCTTGTCCTTCTGGAAAGCTCAGAGACAACTGCTGTGTCACGGAGGCAGGGCTATTTCCAGGCCCGAGCAGGCGGGTGGGGTGGGGGCTGAAGGGGGGCAGTATGGGGGCAGGAGGGGTAAGACCGAGGGAGGGGACTGCGCAGGGCAAAGGGCCCCGAACTGACCTCAGATGCTAATTCAGGAGGCCCAGAGATGGCCCTGAGGGAGAGTGGGGGTAGACAGTCCATTATTTGGGGGTGTCTCCCAGGCAGCAGAGGTGGGGAGCTCTAGGCTACCTGGCTGGCCCCTGTGAAACTCCCTTTGTGGGGCCCTGGGTGCACCCTACATGGGATCCCTTCATGTAAATCACAGCATGGCTCTTACAAGTTCACCCTGAAGGGTGTAGGGGTGTCTTCCCTGGACCCCTAGACTGTCTGAGTGACTGCAGGGCTGGGAGCGCAGGGGGCGCTACCCGCCACTCACAGCCCACTCCAGGCTTCTCTGCTGCCAAGCTGGGAGTGCTTCCCCACCCCCACACCGTCCCAGCACACCTTCCAAATCTGGTTACACTCAGTGACTCCCTCCTTCTGCAGGCCTCCCCTCCCTGCCGGGGCCAGACCGTTAGCTTAGCTGCAGCCAATCCCTGGCGCTGGGGTGGGCTGGGGCTGGCTGCAGGCAGGCTCACCCTCCCAGGGGCAAGGCAGAAGGAGGCCAGGCAGGGGTTAAAGCTCGCTGCTCAGAGCTCAGTGCCTTTTTAGGTGTTGGAGGCAGGGCCCTGCCTGCCCAGTCCCCCGGCCCGAGCCAAGCGTTGAGCACATGCCCGCAGTGGGCCTGTGAGACATGCTGCGGGCCACTAGCTCCCCAGCGCCTCTGAGGCAGGGATCCTGGAGCACTGGGATCCAGGCAGTGACAGGGATCTGTCTCCAGTCCTTGCCTCTCAGGAGGTGCTGGGAAGCTGGGAGGAGACCTGCTTTGTTTGGGAGAGGGGGGGGGGATCCCAGGTGCCCCATGGCAGGAAAGGGACAATGAGTAGAGGCAAGTGGGTGGGAATGTGTGTGTGAGTGTGCAGTGCTGGAGGGCTGGGAACTCTAAGGTGTGGCCTCACTGCGTGCCCCTGGGTGCCCACGGTCCTGAGGGTCCTGAAGGCAGTGGCCTGAGTCGGAGGCTGGGGGAGATGGGGCAGGGGCGTCTCCCTGTCGGCCGCCCCGCCCCGGGTCTCCGCTCCCTGCGCCCCCCTGCAGCACCTGTGCCCCCTGCCCCGGGAGACAGCTCCCTGCCCCCCCGCCCCCGCCTGGCCCTCGCCGCCCGCACTGACCGATGGACACAAGCTTGATGTGCTCGCGCTCCAGGAACTCGAGGGCCACGGACACGTTCTCCAGCTTCATCTGGCGGAAGTTGGGGCGCGGGTGGAACTTGCGGTACATGCGCTTCTGGCTGAGCACCTCGAGCAGCGCGATGAGCCGCAGCCCGTCGCTGAGGTCGCGCTGCAGGTCGGTGAGGCGCTTGCCCACGCATTTGAGGTGCTCGTTACACCAGCGCGTGAACGTGTTCTGTTGGATCTTCTTCCAGGGCGCGTCCTCAGCCAGGTCCTTCTCGGTGGACGGCATGTCGTCCACCTCGTCGGCCAGGCCGAGGCCCGCGGGGTCCGAGTAGCCGCTGTTCATCATGTTGGCGGCCAGGCGAGCAGGGGCTGCGGCCGGGTGCGGGTGGGCGGACGGACTGGGGAACTGGCGGCGCTGTCGGGGCGCAACAGCGGGCTGGGCTGCGCGCTCTGCAACTTCTCTCCTTTGGGTCGCGCTCGGCGGGCGGCTCGCGGGCCTCCTCGCTCCGGCCTCTCTCCCTCCGGGGGCGGAGCGGTGCTCGGGAAGTGCGGCGGGCCGGGCCGGGGGGTTTAAGAAGCCCGCGGCCCGCGGGCCAC